TAAATAATAAATGCTGGAAATGTAAAGAAACTGAAGGTACATTCTTTCACCTTTGGTGGACGTGCCCAAGGATTAAGGCTTTCTGGGAGATGATCTATAACGAATTGAAAAAGGTATTTAAATATACCTTCTTGAAGAAACCAGAGGCCTTTCTCCTAGGCATAGTCGGCCAATTGGTGCCAAAGAAGGATAGAACTTTTTTTTATGTATGCCACAACAGCAGCAAGGATACTCATTGCAAAGTATTGGAAGACACAAGATCTACCCACTCTGGAAGAATGGCAGATGAAGGTGATGGGCTATATGGAACTGGCGGAAATGACTGGCAGAATCTGAGACCAGGGAGAAGAGTTGGTGGAAGAAGATTGGAAGAAATTCAAAGACTATCTACAGAAATATTGCAAAATTAATGAATGTTAGAATGATGTTGGATAGAAATTAAGTGATTTTCAGCTGTAATACTACAAGGGAATATGAAAAATGGATTATTAATAGGTAAAAATTTAATGTTACAATATTTTAAGATTAAAGACTAGGATAAACAAAGAGGGTAAGGATTTGCTGAACCAACAAACTGAACTGGAATACAAAAAAGGGAGGCGTGAGGAGGTCCAGGAAACAAGCTAATGAAAAATAAGTAAGGGAAAGATTGAGTTGTTTTTAACCATTTTTATTTTGTATTTTCTTCTTTTTTATTTTTATTTTGTAACATTTTGAAAATCTCAATAAATATCTTATATAAAAAAAAAAGGAAAAGGAGTTGTAAACTAAAGAGGCTGCTTTCGAAACTGTTTTTATTAAAGTTCCTTTTTACTTTGAAAAGGCCTTTCCTTCTAAAAATCTATCTATGTTATGTATGAAATATATTGGCTTAAATGTAATTATGCAAAGGATTTAGAAAGTAAGAAATGTTAGATTCTTATGTTAGATTCTTATTTCATTGATGGTGTGTGAGAAGGTGAACCCAAGATCTCTGTTTAAGATAAAATTAGAACCATTAGCCATCTGTTCTGGAGTGAATAGGGCAATAGGGCAATAGGGCAAAAAGGTTATCTGGTAATTAAGGTGCCTGGTCGAGGTAAATGTAAGCTATATGGCTACTTGTTTGCCATTTATGGATAGAAGGAAATATAGCTCTTTGTCTCCCATAAAAGGTAATAGGAAATGGGTGTATCTTTTATGATTGGTTCTAGCAAACAGCCAATAGGAATTTCAACCAGGCTGATTGGACAGAGGCAGCCAAAGGAGGAGCAAGGGGGCTGGGCTGAGGGAATATAAGTGCTGGCCATCAGGGCTGGAGTGGGCAGAGCTTTGGTATCCATATACCACTGTGTCTCTCATTTATTTGTCTGACAAATAAATTATTATTTTAATTTCTCTATTGCTGCGTTGAATATTTCATTCCAGCGAAGCGTTAACCACAAGCAGGGTGCTACAGTAAGTTTAAGTATGTTGCACATACCCAAGACAGTCAATGCTGCCATGTGCTGAGGAGTTCGAAGGAAGCAATAAAAACCTGTTTTCCAAGCTCAGTGGTGTCATTTGAGTCAGTGCCCAGACCAGGAGCAGGATGAAAGGCAAATACACTGAAGAAAAGTATCTCTGAGAATGTACAAAGTACCTTTCCCTAAGCACAAGCAAATCCTGCACAACTGAAATTAGAAGGCAGGATATGTGTTTGATGATAAATGCTACTTTAGTTCAGCAACTTTTCTTTCTTGACATATAATGTAGTTATGCATACTTGTTTTTAAAATCTGCAGCTTTTATCTGCATATTATAGATAATTATGGGCTCCCCCACACTTCCCCTTGAGCTGTGCTTAGAAAGCAAGGGCCCAAGAAGTTTTCTGCTTGACCTGTGAATAATAATAATAATAATAATAATAATAATAATAATAATGTTACGGAAAAATCTAGGTCCGAGGCTGCTCAGTCACGCAGCTTGTCGGGCAGAGCCCATGGGTCCCTGCGGAATAAAGGAAGGAGTCCAATCAACCGGAGCAAATAGCTGTAGACCAAAGTTTATTGCGCAATAGGTTCAAAGAGCAAATTTGAACCCCGAGGATGGGGTGACAAAGACTTTTAAAACTTTCCCACCATATCCCAGAATACAGTTCATACAGCATCATTGCTACGTCATTGCTACATCACTGACATGTCACAAAAGGGGAGGGGTTAACCTTGGCAAACATGTCCAGACAAGTCCTTGGTACAAGATTAGCATAAGCAAACATGTCAGGGCAAGACTCAGATATAAGATTAGCATAGACAATATGTCTTAAGTACCCACCACCCAAAAGTACAATAGAACTTCCTTTGCATGTCTGGAGCCTGAGGCAAGTCAGGTGATGAGATCTGGCTTCCCTTGGCTATCAATGAGCCCAGCAATTGTCACCTCTGGGAACATCCTGGAGTCCTAACTGGCAAAGGAGATGATTTTATATTATTTTTAAAGCTAGGTAACTTCCCTGAGCTGTCAAGTTGAAAGGATACATTCAGGCATAATATTTGTAACATTTAACTTTAAAGATGTGCCCCCCCGTAATTTCGATAATAATAGTAATAATAATAATAATAATAATAATTTATTATTTGTACCCCACCCATCTGATTGGGTTGCCCCAGTCCACGCAGTCTTCCCCACTCCTCTCCCAGAAAATAAACACTCTTTAGCGATAAAACAAGTATCAATCCAACACTCTTTATCACAGAATCAGAGCAAAGAGCAACCTGCAGAAAACCCAATTTGCCATTTGTTCTTATTCAGCGTTAAAGAGTACATTAGCCTTTTTTGCAACTGCATCATGCTGCTGCCTCATGTTCAGCTTGTGATCAACTACAATCCCCAAGTTCCCTTTCATATGTACACTGTCAAGCACTGGGTCATTTTTGCCAAGATGCAGCACTTTGCATCTGTTGAATTTCCTTTCCTTGGTTTCAGCTCTTATCAAAATCAATCTGAAATTTATTCCAGTCTTCTGAAGTGCTAGCTACTCCTCTCAGTTTGTGCCATCCACAAATTCAGAATGATTCCCATCAGGCTTTCATCTAAAACTTGATGACAAAATGTATAGAGGTGCTGACTGATTCCAGGACACAACCCTCAGTGCCGGATTACCAAATAGGCAGAGTAGACACTTTTTAGGCGACAATGGATCAAAATAAAATGGATTTGATCTTGAAAGTGTGAGAGGAATTTTATGGTCTTAGATATATGGTAGTGTTCATAACCGCACATACATAGATCAGCACAGGAAGACCAACCTTGAACCATTTTGATTCCTAAACTGACCAAATGTTTTCACTGCAAGGCCAAAGTGGAAAAGCCTCCCCATTGTCTTTTCCTTCACAAATCCTGTCTTAAGCGTATGTCTGTGTTTGAATAAGGGTGTGAGCCTGTGACATGGCCTGGGAACTAAGTATTTATCACTACAAAAGAATGGCCAGGCTACCCAGGAAATCCAATCAAGTAACCTGCCAGACAGGAGATAAACAGCGACAGGAGAAAAACAACATGCAAATGTTCTGTTTTAGACAGCTTTTTTTGTGTGAAGGTGTGATATATTTGAGGGGTGGTCTTAGGTTACACCCCTTCTGTGATGTATGTATGATGTTTCTGGGGGTGGTCTTGATCTACAGGGTGGGAATTTCAAAAGTCTTTATAAGGCCTTGCACACCATTTTTCTGGGTCCTCCTCCTTTCCTGCGTGTGAGGGGAGCACCCTGTTGCAACAGATCAATAAAGATCAAGCTTACTAGCTGCTTTGCTTCTCAATATTCTCTGGTTGGCCTCTGTTATTTTCTCCTACCAATAGGGAACCTATCTAAGGACAGTATATGGGCTCTTGGATACCCCACAAGGGAAAAGGGCAATTTTTGTTTACAACAAAAGAAAATTACAACCAAGCTTTCTTGGTTCAATATTATCCCACTATAGCCATGGGGCCTCCACAAGGTTTAACCCAGCACTGGCAACCCTTCTGGACACACCCTCAAATCTGCTGAGAAGCCACCAACAAACCATTTCTAAGTAGTTTTTTTGACTCACTGTGAATCCATCTGATGTAACCAGCTTCTTGGCCAAGGTCTCGGGGTGGGCTTTATCTGATAGGAAAAGGGATCCCGTGACTCTCCAGACATTGTTAGACAACAAGTCCCTTATCATTTTGCCATGCTGGTTGAAGCTGATGGAGCATGGATACATATGTGGGGGGGGGGGGACAGTTGACGCTTCTCACTCTGTCTTATTAATCTAGCTCTTATCTGATGTTGGTTTTTGTCTTTAATTTTGTAGTTTGAACGCGACCCCTTGATTTTGTTTCTTTTTTCATTGAATCTGTAAACTGGCCTTCAGTCCATTCTTTAGCAGAAATGAGGGGATTAAAAGTAACAACTTTAAATTAAAAAAACTAGATACGGTTAAAACGATACAGATACAGTTAAACTGTACAGTATCTAGTTTTGAAATTGTTTGGTGGGTCTTTGGACTGCAATAAAGTTTTGATTTGATACAGGGCGGAATTGAAAAAGACAACCACCACCCCTTAGGATTGCAAAGCAGTTAAGAGGAGAGATCTGGGTTCCAATTCACACTTTGAGCCAGTCACTATAGAATCATAGAATTGTCAAGTTGGAGGAAGGGGACCCCGAGGGTCATCCAGTCCAACCCCCTGCAATGCTGGAATCTCAGTTAAAGCATCCACGACGGTTGAGCCTCCAGCCTCTGTTCAAAACCTCCAAGGAAGGAGAGTCCCCCTTCCGAGTTGCCCCGCTGCCTTTCGCTGGGCGTCCGCCCGCCCGCCCCCCCGACCCGGACTCCGGGCAAGTTCGAGGCGCGTCTGGCCGCGAAGCCGAGCCTCCCCCCGGCCGCTGGGCGCCGCTGCCGAAGGGGGCGTCTCCGCCGGGGCGGCGAGGGAGGCGGAGCCGGGCAGGCAGCCGCAGGCAGGCAGGCAGGCAGGCGGCCTCGGACGGGCACCTCGCTCGCTCGGCCGGCTGGGCGATGGCGGTGACGCGGAAGCTGGGCATCCGCCTGGCCTACTCGGCGGCCGGGAGCGTGTCGGGGCTGTCGGTCTTCCTGGTGTGGAACCTGGCGCCCAGCCTGCGGCAGCCCTACACCGCCGCCGCCGGAGGGCTCTCCGGTAAGACGCGACTCTCCGCGCAGCCTCGCCTTCCAAGGGCCCCCCGGCCCGTAGGGGAAGCCCGCCTGGGGAAGGGTCCGCTCCGGGGAGCCCCTCTCTCCCGCGCCCTCCCCTGCTCGCCGGGGCTTCGTCGCTCCGAGTCCGCGGCGAGCTTGCTTCGCTTTTGTGCGGCGGGGCCACAGCTTGAAGGGGGCCTGGGGGACTCTCGGCCACCTAAACTTTCTGAGCAGCCAGAGGAGGGTTAGTTGCAAGCTGGCCTCGCGGGACAATCCACATTGGATTTATTTCCCCTTCGCTGCCCCAACCGGAGAGCCTTAAAAACAACAACCTAGTGTCCCTACAGTTCTTTCCCCGGGTGCTAAAGGTCACTTGAATTCTTTTAAGTGCTTTTTCTAGTTGTAATACTTACCAGTTGCCCTTGTTGTGAGTATAAATGTGACAAGTTGTAGCTAATCTGTGGTTTTTTAAATTGTTGTTGTTGTTATTATTATCATCATCTGAAGAAGGGACTCGGATGCTATTTATATGGAGAGAGGCGGTACTTGGGATATTGCAGTCCTTAGTTAGATTTATCTACCTTACCCCCCACCCCAACAGCTCAGAGTGACATTTTAATTCTTTGCAACCCTGGGACGTAGGCTAAGAGATAGCAACTGGCCCATTGATGCCCAAAGAGCCCCAGCCTATCCCTGTAACCATTAACAGCACTCTAACATATACTTCAGACTAAAGGCAGTATGATAATTTGTGTGCGGAGAGGGGGAGACAATTTTTTGTTTATTACTGCATTTACAGTGGTACCTCGGGTTACATATGCTTCAGGTTACAGACATTTCAGGTTACAGACTCTGCTAACCCAGAAATAGTACCTTGGGTTAAGAACTTTGCTTCAGGATGAGAACAGAAATCGTGCGGCGGCAGCAGGAGGCCCTATTAGCTAAAGTGGTGCTTAAGGTTAAGAACAGATTCAGATTAAGAACGGACCTCCGGAACGAATTAAGTACTTAACCCGAGGTACCACTGTATATTGCATCTTTCCTCCAAGAAGCTATAGGTGCTGTGTGTGAGTCTCCCTCTCCTCATTTTGTCCTTGCAACAACCCTGTGAGGTAGGTCTGGTTGAGAGATGCTGGCTGGCCCAAGATGGGCAGAATGGGGATTTGAACCCTAGTATGCCAGGTCCTGGTTTGACACTCAGACTGCTGCATCTCACTGGCTGTTAGGCTTTAAAGAGCCACCAGGGCACCTAATATTTAGGATCCAACCTTCTACAAAAATATGGATATGTTGATGTTTAAAAATAGCTTGGTTTCGGCATTAAATTGTTAGCAGCTTTGTACTACCAAGTAGCAGTTTTAAGACAGGGCTTAAAAGAAAGGAATTTCAGCACTTGGCACCTGTTGAACTCAAGGCCACTCTAAGCGTGACTTCTTCTCCCTGCATGTAGAAATGCAGTTGCATGCAGCCTGTTTGTGGTTTGCAATGCATGTATTTTCCTGATGCCTTTTTGAATACATTCTTCCCCTTTGTCCAGCATCACAATCGTCTCTTGTAGGCAGGCAGCATGGAGAAAACCGTGTGTCTCGTATAATTGTCAGGTCGTGTCAGGGTACAGCATGGCATGATGGGATTTTGGCTACTTTCTTTTTGTACTTCGGTAGTAGTTGTCAGGGCAACTGTCACCCTCTCGTTATCACCTTCATGAGAATCATATTCATTTTCTTTCTTTTATCCCCAGTGAATTTCTGAACATGGTTCTGAAAGCACTGATGATGAACCGGTTTAAACCAGAGAGATTTGGGACTTGGAGGAGCACAAGTTCAAATCCCAGCTTCTCTGACTTTGTGACATTGGTGACACTAATCCCTTGGCCTTGGCTATCCTGTCTGTAAAATGGGAACCAGAATAACCAGTCCTGGAAGGGATGGGGATGACTCAGGTGCTGCCTTTGGAGCCTAGAAATGTTTTTCAGTACCTGAACATTATTACCCTGTTAGGAAGGATATTACCAAGTTAAATGAGAAGCACGGTAAAACAAATTGCATTGTAATAGAAAAAACTTGACAGTCGTCTCTGAAGGATTGATGACTTTGTTTATTTGGGGAAAGGCAGCTGCCATTTAATTACATTTTATTTATTTATCCAGTTTGCATACCACCCTTCATCCATAGATCTCAGGGTGGTTCACAGTATAAAAATACAAGATAAAAACACTACACACACACACCACCCCCTCCCACCCACACATTTAAAAGGATTGAGGAATTTAGCCAGCCATATTCATTTCTTTTTTTCTCCATATTCATTTCTTTATTAAGTACATATGAAGCTCCTATATAATAATAATAAATTTTTATTTATATCACGCCCTCCCCAGCTGAAGCCGGGCTCAGAGCGGCTAACAACAGTAAAATAACACAGTTTACATAAATCAATTAATTGAAATACATTTTAAAATCAATTCATTCTAAAATCAATTCAGAGTCAAATTAATGGCAACCATTGGGTTAGAGTTCTATGAGGATTACCAAAGGAGGAGGTCATTCTGTGCCTTGGCCAAAGGCCTGGTGGAACAACTCTGTCTTGCAGGCCCCGTGGAAAGATGTCAAGTCCTGCAGGGCCATAGTCTCTTGTGACAGAACGTTCCACCAGACCAGGGCCTCGACCAAAAAAGCCCTGGCTCTGGTTGAGGCCAGTCTAACCTCCCTGTGGCCTGGGACCTGCAAGATGTTTTTGTTTGAAGACCGTACGGTCCTCCGTGGGACATACCAGGAGAGGTGGCCCCATAGGTACGAGGGTCATAGGCCGTATAAGGCTTTAAAGGTTAAAACCAGCACCTTAAACCTGATCCTGTCCTCCACCGGGAGCCAGTGCAGCTGGTATAGCACCGGGTGAATGTGCTCCCGTGGCAAGGACCCCGTAAGGAGTCTCGCCGCGGCATTCTGCACCCGCTGGAGTTTCTGGGTCAGTCTCAAGGGCAACCCCATGTAGAGTGAGTTACAATAAGTCTGGAGGTGACTGTCGCGTGGATCACAGTGGCTAGGTCAGGGCGAAAGAGGTAAAGAGCCAACTGCTTAGCTTGGCGGAGATGAAAAAATGCTGCCTTTGTTATAGCTGCAATCTGCGCCTCCATGGAAAGGGAGGTGTCAAAGATTACACCCAAACTCTTAACGGACGGTGCTGGCACTAATTGCGCCCCCGCAAGAGATGGGAGTTGCCCCCCCATCCCATATCGTCCCGTCCCAGCCATAGGACCTCTGTCTTCGAAGGATTTAACTTCAACTGGCTCCCATGTAACCATTCAGCCGCAGCTTCCAAACATCTGATCAGTGTGTCTGGGGCCGAGTCAGGATGGCCACCCATCAACAGATAGAGTTGGGTGTCATCAGCATACTGATGGCAGCCCAATCCAAAACTCCGGACAAGCTGGGCGAGGGGGCGCATAAAGATGTTAAAAAGCATTGGGGAGAGTATCGCACCCTGCGGCACTCCACACACCAAGGAGTGGCATGACGACAGTTCCCCCCAAGTGCCACCCTCTGTCCCCGACCAGAGAGAAATGAGCACAGCCATTGAAGGACTAGTCGTATATATAGAGTCAGACCTCTGTTCCATCTTCTGCAGTACAGTGGTACCTTGGTTTGCAACCGCTTTGGATTATAACCGTTTTGGATTACAACCACGTCAAACCCGGAAATGTGTGTCCCTTTTTTTGGATTACAACCCATTTTTGTTTTTATTACAACCAATTTTGGGGGGGAGGCCCCATTGGCGAAAGTGTGCCTTGGGTTACAGCCTGTTTTGGTTTACAACCGCACCTCCGGAATGGATTATGGTTGTAAACCAAGGTACTGTACTGTACTGTCTACTGTTACTGACAGCGAATCTTTAGGGTGTTGGGCTGTTGCCTTTTCCAGTCCCCAGATCCTTCAAATCTATTTTGACCCTGAGACTGAGGTTGGAGACCTGCATGCAAAGCATGAGCTCTACCATTTGTCATATATAAACGGCTACTTATATATTGCCACTAATCCTTGCAAGCTATTAGAACGTGTTGTGTTCTGAGTTGAGAACCCGTGGCCCTCCAAATATTGTTAGAACACCAGCCCTGATCAGCAGTGGTCAGGGATGATGGCGTTGTAGGCCAATAGCACCCACCCCTGCTCTACTTTTGGACCTCAGCATGCAGATAGGTGCAGGCTTGATTTTTGGAGGCAGAAGGCCAGAAGCAAATCTAGACACCATCCTGGAGTTTATGCCTTCATCCTGGCTGGGTGTTCTGGCCCTCACTGGGGATGGGAATCCCACAGGCCTGCGCATGTCTGTGTGCAATGTGACTATGGCCACATTCACAACATACATTTAAAGCACAATGATGCCATTGACATCACTGTACTTTCCAGCGCTCCCTGTGAAGAGGGATTGTTTGGTAAGTCACTCTGGAAATCGTAGTTCTGAGAGGGCACCTGGGCTCTCCTAACAGCTCACAGCACCCTTTAAAAACCACAGCTCCCAGACTCTTTTGGGAAGGGAAGGTGGTATCACGGTGCTTTAAATGTATGACATGAATGCGACTTTGTGCAAAATCCATAGAGAATGCAGGAGAACCCACCCATTAATGAGCTTTTCCCCATCTGCCGTGTCTAGCATTCTGACAGTTGGAAGTAAATTTTGCTAGGTTGCAGTCTTCTGTCTTAAGACGCTGTGAGCTGTAAGTGAAAGCTTCCTCCTGAACCTCTGGGCTGTGGAGTGCCTTATGTGGGAGCTGTGCCCAGATGGGGAATCTTATACCCTGGTTTGGTTTGGCAGTGCAGAGGCAGGCCAGTTAAAACATGTTTTGGTTTTGGGTTTTTTTATGAAACCATTTTTATTGGTTTTACAAATACAAACTATAAATGAACACAAACCAGTAAAAACATATCTATATAAAGAGATTCCCCGAATCTCAAGACTTCCCCCCATCTCCTCCATGGGGGTCTCATTTTAAACATCTACAACTGCATATTGATCTGTGTCAAACCATATTGTCCATAATAATTTTTACACTACAAGTGAGTCAAAATCTTGCTCTTGTTTCCATCTGCTTACAGTGGTCTCCTACATAACTTATAAATTTTTCCCATTCTTTTATAAAGTTTTTATCCTCTTGATTTCTGAGTTTTCCAGTCAGCTTTGCCATCTCGGCCTAGCCCATCAGCTTGGTTTGCCATTCCTCTCTGGTAGGGACTTTGTCTTCTTTCCAGTTCTGGGATAATAACTTCCGGGTGGCTGTTGTTCCATATATGAAGAGTATTTTCTGCTCCTTTGGTATGTTAGTACCTGTAATTCCTAATAAAAAAGCTTCTGGTTTCTTAACAAAAGTTATTTTAAGCATTTTTTTATTTCATTATATATCATCTCCCAGAATGCTTTTATTACCTTACAAGTCCACCACATATGATAAAAGGTACCTTCTTTTTCTTTACATTTCCAGCAGATATTTGAACTTGTCCTATACATTTTTGCTAACTTAGTAGGAGTCAAATACCACCGGTACATCATTTTCACATAATTTTCTTTCAGTGTACAACATGCCTTAAATTTCAAATCTGATTTCCATAACCTTTCCCAATCTGCCATCTGAATATTATGTCCCAAATACTTTGCTGACTTGACCTGTTCATCTTTTGTGGGCCGCTCTAAAAACCAAGCTATACATTTTAGATAATGATTTAACATTATTTTCTAACAAATCTTTTTGAAATCTTGATAATTCACAACTAAAACCTTTCTTTTTATCTATCTTAAATATATCATTTAATTGGTGAAAATGTAACCAGTCCATTATTAAATCCCTTATCTCATCATAATCTTTTAGTTTCACCAGCTCTCTATATGTCAGCCAATTAATTCTCATATTCGCTTTTTTCAAAGATATTATTTCTAAAGGGGAAAGCCACCAAGGTGTTTTTTGCTTTTTCCCATACCAGAAAGATTGATTTTCTTATTAGATGATTCTGAAAACCTTTATGCACCTTAGCTTTCTCATACCATAAGTATACATGCCATCCAAATCTGTTGTCATGTCCTTCCAAATCTATTATATCTGCCTTTTTCAATATTATCCATTCCCAGAGCCAGCAAAGACAGGATGCCTCATAATAAGGTTGTGCTGTAATAAACCTCTTTGCTCTCTGCCTCCACAGTTGGAGGCAGCAAGGCTTCTGAATGAAACCACAGGAGGGAAGAGGGCTCTTGTGCTCAGATCCTGCTTGCTGGTTTCCCACAGCTTGGCAACGGGGAGAACAGGGTTGGCCTGATCCAGCAGGCTCTTCTTTTGTTCATATGTGTTCTCTACAGCTCAGTTTTGCAGCAGTTTACAGATATGTTGAAGCTTGTTTTAATGAAACGGTTGCATTTGTTTTTCCTTCTGCTCAGCAATTTTAGAATATTAAGCAGTTTGGTTGCTTTTAATCAACTAAGTAAGTGGTTGAGGGGAGAAATCCATGAGCTGTGCTCCTTCAGACAGCCGATGGAGCTCACATGACTGAATGCTGATCCGTAGAAAGCAAATTCCTTCCACATAGAAAAGGGTAGGAGCATCAGAGCCCTTTCCTGCAGCCTGAAGCAGTGCAAGACAGTCCTATAAGAACCAAGATGACCTGATGTGTTATCAAAGTGTGCTGACTTACATTATCCTACCTAACTAGGCGCTGCCCCCACCCAGTTTCAGACTCTGATCAAAACTCTTATGTCAGGAGGTCTTCGCACCCTGAATGCACCTCACATGTTTTACATAGTGTTTTAGTTTGTGAAGTTTGTGAGGTTTTATATTCTTGAGGTTTTAAATGATGTATATTGTATGTGGTGTTTTTTTTATTATTGTACACTGCTTTGAGACCTACGTGGTGTGAATAGCTCCATAATGGCCAGGGATTAGGAGTCCAGTCTCCTCTGGAAAGGCCACAGTTTCCTCATGCCTGCTTTATGCGATGGGAGCTCCCCTCAGATCTCAAGGAAGTGCCCCACTGAATTGGGGAGTGGAGCTCTGGAAGGCTATGCTACCACTCAGTGGATTTGTAACTGGCTGACTGACCGAACCCAAAGGGTGCTCATCAATGGTTCCTCTTCATCCTGGAGAAGAGTGACTAGTGGGGTGCCACAGGGTTCTGTCTTGGGCCCGGTCTTATTCAACATCTTTATCAACGACTTGGATGATGGACTCAAGGGCATCCTGATCAAATTTGCAGATGACACCAAACTGGGAGGGGTGGCTAACACCCCAGAGGACAGGATCACACTTCAAAACGACCTTGACAGATTAGAGAACTGGGCAAAAACAAACAAGATGAATTTTAAGAGGGAGAAATGTAAAGTATTGCACTTGGGCAAAAAAAATGAGAGGCACAAATACAAGATGGGTGACACCTGGCTTGAGAGCAGTACATGTGAAAAGGATCTAGGAGTCTTGGTTGACCACAAACTTGACATGAGCCAACAGTGTGACGCGGCAGCTAAAAAGCCAATGCAATTCTGGGCCGCATCAATAGGAGTATAGCATCTAGATCAAGGGAAGTAATAGTGCCACTGTATTCTGCTCTGGTCAGACCTCACCTGGAGTACTGTGTCCAGTTCCGGGCACCACAGTTCAAGAAGGACACTGACAAACTGGAACGTGTCCAGAGGAGGGCAACCAAAATGGTCAAAGGCCTGGAAACGATGCCTTATGAGGAACGGCTAAGGGAGCTGGGCATGTTTAGCCTGGAGAAGAGGAGGTTAAGGGGTGATATGATAGCCATGTTCAAATATATAAAAGGATGTCACACAGAGGAGGGAGAAAGGTTGTTTTCTGCTGCTCCAGAGAAGCGGACACGGAGCAATGGATCCAAACTCCAAGAAAGAAGATTCCACCTAAACATTAGGAAGAACTTCCTGACAGTAAGAGCTGTTCGACAGTGGAATTTGCTGCCAAGGAGTGTGGTGGAGTCTCCTTCTTTGGAGGTCTTTAAGCAGAGGCTTGACAACCATATGTCAGGAGTGCTCTGATGGTGTTTCCTGCTTGGCAGGGGGTTGGACTCGATGGCCCTTGTGGTCTCTTCCAACTCTATGATTCTATGATTCTAAGGCGGAAGCCGCTTTCCTGATTCTTGGAATGAACCTGCAGGACGATGACATTCATTCTTAAGAAGCTTTTTTTGCTATTTTTAAGTCAGGCAGGTAGTTCAGTCGATTGGATAAAGCAAGGCTTTGGATTAAGATCTTCTCCAAAGGGAGACATTGCCAGACAAGTGGATAAAAAGTTCAATGTGGATGTGAAAGACTGGAGAAGCAAACAATGGTGTGTGCTGTGCAAAAGTGGGGGTTGCATCGTGTACAGGGCACACTCCTTTCAAGCTGACCTGTTCCCTGAGCACTGATTGTTTTGCAGCAAGATGGTTCCTGTTATTCAAGGGATTGGGTCAGGCATGGGCATCCTGTGGCCTTCCAGATGTTTTTATTAATTATTACATTTATGTACCACCTTTGTCTTCCAAGGAACTCAAGGTGTACATGGTTCTCCTCTTCTCTACTTCATTCTCACAACAACTCTGTGAGGTAGGTTAGGCTAAGAGATGGCAAGTAACCCAAGGTCACCCAGTCACCCCGACCACACGTCAGGCTGGCTGGGACGGAGGAGATTTGGAGCCCAACAGCACCTGGTTAGGTAGATGGCAGCATTCTGTAAAACCAGGAAATATTGTCTACATGGCACCTAAATGTATAACAAGCATGTGCAACTGTAGAAAAGTTAGGCATTGTGGAATACCTGGAATGAGGCCTTGGAGAGCTGTTAGAAGTCAATGTAGACTGAATGGAGAATCTGTAGATGCAGTTGGACTCCAATTGCCAACAGCCTCCAGTAGAAGGTTGCTTTATATGCTCATATGTAAAATTCTCTACAAAGAAATGTTCCCTGTGTGGGTGTGAGAAGAGGCTTCCCGGATGGCGTTTCAGCGTTAGACTGCGTGCATCTCATCACTTTCAGGACTTACTCGTCAAACCTGATGCCACATTGGTGAAGGTTCTGTGTGAAATCTCCTTTCAGTTTTGCCTTCAGGCTCACTTCTTAGCCACCGCTGTGCCAAAGGGTGCCTTCACGCATTCAAAGCTGTTAACCCAGCTGGCTGCTTTGGTGATTTCTAACAGCAGCAGTTGCCGGCAGGAACACATGGTGAGAATTGCGGGCATTGCAGGAGCCCTGGGGCTCAAATTAGGCTATTGCTGGAGTGCTGATGCTCAAATTGGGGGTGTCTCTGACAGCTGGAGCTTCTAGAGGGGCAAAGATTTATCAGGAGGCATGATCTTGAAGGTTGTTTTTGGCAGGGTGCATGAAAATGTGAAGGAGGCAAGGCTACTTCTGTCTTGAGCAATGATCTCAAACGTTTCTTGTTCCGTTTCAGGAATGCAGGCCGAGACTTTACCAAGAAAGGAGTCCGGGTGCAAGGCTGCATGGGTGTGGGCCAAAAGGATCACTGTCTTTAGGGATAGGAGGCAGCGCTGGGTTGCAGAATGGTTCCTCCCTTGAATGTCTTCCTCCTCCTTTCCAGCCAGGCAGTTGCTGACGTCATTTATCTCATTCCAGCATGCAGAAAAGGACCAAAAGAAACACAAAAAAGTTCAAAACAACTGTATTGTGGATCTGCCCAGTTGAGCCTGCCAAGGGTTTGTTTGTCCTGGATCTGGACCAAATAGATCATGCTCAGCTGAACAGCCTTCTCACAATTGCTTGTTGTCCCCAGGAGTCAGGTAGCAGGAAGACACAGAGGAGGCATTTGTACACTCCAGATGTTTTGCAGGGGAAGGGTTGCCACCACTCTGCCCCAGTGGGGTGATAGGACGGCTTAGATAACAAAGACCCTAAACCCCAATCTAAACCCTTTTTATCTGAGTGTTGGAGAACTGGAAAGGTCTTTAATGCTGTTACTAGCAGTGCCTTCAACCCTGTGCCTAGTTTGTCAGGGTTAATTCAATTTTGGAGGCTGCTGTGCAGAGTTCTCGTTTTGCCCAGCATTTTCTGCCAAGTCACTCTGAAGACTTCCCTTCCAAAGATTCCTTTGCAAAGTCATGGTTTTTGGGAAGTGCAGCGTCAGGTGTCCCCTAACGCAAGGAGGTGCTTGGGTGCTGAATCAGTTTCTGACACGTGAGGGGGAGCCTCTGACCACACACACTTCCTGCTGAGAGAAGCAGCCTCTGGAATGACCCTGCATTTTTTAAAAACCATCCATATTATTTTAAATGTAGACCAGAAGATTGTTTCTTTTCCTTTTCTTTTCTTTTTTTGGTTTGTCAGCAATGTTGCAAATATTATTTTTCAATGTATTTTTTTTAAAAAAGATTTTCTTGATTTACAAAGGTGTGTGCAATGTCTCTCTCTCTCTCTCGTATTTTTTTTCCAGGTAACTTTTTTTTTTTACAAATCGGTTTCATTTGTTGAGGAAGAATAGGGGGAAAGAGGTGGAGGGGGGAAAGATGAGTGGGGGTGGGGTCGGGTGGTGATGTTTCTATTTTACTTACTATATGTGGGGTTTGGTGTCAGCCTTGCTTGTGCAGGTTCTCTGCTGTTCACTTGTGTTTCTTTGGTGGTGAGAGAGGTTGGGGTTGGCCCAGGGTGTGGCTGTTCGTTTGTGGTTGGCTGTGGTGGTCTTTGTGTTTCTGTAGCCTGTCTGTGGAAATCGGCACCTGCAGTTTGGGTTCCCCTTCTTCAGAGCTAGCAAAGCACTGCGGAACTTCCTGTTTCCCCACCCCTTAAAACTTGCAGGAATCCTGTCTTATTGCACATCCATGGTTCTTCCAGAACAGCCCTTGCCAACCTTGTGCTCTCCAGTTCCTTTGGACTACAGTTGCCATCACAGCCACTGGGCAGGACTGATGGGATGTGGAGTCCAGCAGCATCTCCAGGGGCACATTCCACCCTTGACTTCCCGCTTGGGGTGGGTGTAACAATTATGCCAGGGCTGGGGGATCCCTGCCTCTCCAGATGTTGCTGGACTGCAGCTGCCTTCATCTTTTGGCCAGGCCAGCAGGGGCTGATGGAATTGGAGTCCAACATTACCTGGAGGGCCAAAGGTTCCCCAGCCCTGGTCTGAATACACCTGGTCTGAACACCAGAGATGCAATGCCAAAATCACATCAGTGCACATAATACAAGCCCTTCAGACTTCAGACAGAGTAACCTCTTTTGGCTGGCTGAACTGGTAAAAGTGGATGCCCCCCCCCACCCTCAATTTCCCCTCTTGTAAGGATAAAAACACCTGGTTCTAGGAACAGTGATCACCTCCATGCTGCTTCTCAAAGCTCAGGCACTTTTACATAGGTTTGTCTTCAAACCTGTGTTTGATCCCTCAGTACATCCCTGAAACAGCTGCAGATCTTGCACTCAGTCCCTGCCCCCCCCCGCCCAGTGCTGATGGCTGCAGCGCTGTTTTTCACCACAGGAGGGCATTCCTTCCACTGTGTCCTCTCCCTGATTTTATTTGAAGTGGTGAGATCTAAAGGTGTGCACTAATCCAGAATATGGCAGCTAGACTGGTGACTGGGAGTGACTGCCGGCACCATATAACACCGGTCCTAAAGGATCTTCACTGGCTCCCATTATGTTTCCAAACACAATTCAGTGTTGGTGCTGACTTGTAAAGCCCTAAACAGCCTCAGCTCAGTATAACTGAAGGAGCGTCTCCACCCCCATCGTTCAGCCTGGACACTGAGGTCCTCCTCTGAAGGTCTTCTGCTGATTCCCTCACTGCAAAAAGTGAAGCTACAGGGAACCAGGCAGAGGGCCTTCTCAGTAGTGGCACCCACCCTGTGGAACGCCTTCCCATCAGATGTCAAGGAGATGAAAAATTACACAACTTTTAGAAGACATCTGAGGGCAGCCCTGCATTGGGAAGTTTTTAATGTTTCACATTTTACTATGTTTTTATATGTGCTGTAAGCCGCCCAGAGTGGCTAGGGAAATAATAAAATTATTGTTATTATTATTACTACTACCTATTGTGGAAGAGAACCACAATAGGTGTTTGGTGGGTTTTTGAAAAATATTTTTTCCTGCTCAGACTTTTCTGTTCTGTTTAATGCCAGTGTAGTGCCCTCCAGCTGTTTCTTGACTCCAACTCCCATCATCCTCAACACAGCCAATGGTCAAGGGCTGATGGGATTTGGAGTCCAGCAGCAGCCACAGTCTCCCCACTCCTGGCCTAAGACCTGTGTGGAGATGGATGATCTGCCCTGCAGTTCGTGTTGCCATTGCTCTTGATTCTTCTCCTTCTTTTCTCCCCCAGGGGTGCTGGCTCTCTGGACCCTGATCACACATGTGATGTACGTGCAGGATTACTGGAGGACGTGGCTGAAAGGCTTGAGGTTCTTCCTCTTTGTCGGCGTTCTCTTTGGTATCATCTCTCTGGTGGGCTTCTGCACATTCCTGGCCTTGGCCATCTCACAGCATCAGTGTAAGTTGGGGGGGGGCATTTGCTGTTCGGCAAGAGCTGAGTAGGTTCTGTGTGGCCCCAAAAGCAAAACAAGCAAAATCAAAATTTTGTTCCCCGAAAATGCTGTATTCTGCAGTCCATAATCCTCAGTGGCAGAACACTTGCTTTGCTCACAGAAGGTCCTCGGTTCAGTCCCTGGCATCTCCAGTTGAAAGGATCACCCAGCTGCAGTGGGGGTGGAATGGACCTTTTGCCTGAGGCTTTGGCGACTCGCTGTTGGAAAGAGCAAGCTGCACTGAGCTCGATGGGTCAGTAGACTGGCTTGGTCGAAGGCAAATTGGCATGTGCAAAAGATAGAGGGATGAGCCACAGTTGCTGCTTTGTATGCAGAATGTCTCAGGTTCTGAGCTGGGTATCTCCAGCCAGAAGAATCTTAGGGAGCAGGGCTCCAAAATGTCTCTGTGACTAAGAATTTACAGAAGGATGGCCCAACTATTTATACCAGGTGGGCTGCAAGAGTGTTTTGAACCCACAGGCCGCACACTGCCTGGTTGTGGTGGTGAGGAGAGCAAGGCCAAAATTGGACATGCACCCGCATGCTGCCTTCCCAAAGGTGGATAAATGAGGCTCTGGGCTTTGGGAAGGAGGCACGAGGCTCTGGCAGGGTCCTAGAGCCCTCCCTCCCTCATTTCCAAAGCTGGGAAAGCACTAACTGGGCTTTGGGAAGGTGGAGGGAAGACTCTAGGACCCTGTCAGAGCCTTGTGCCTCCTTCCCAAAGCCCAGCGTCTCACCTGCCCAACTTTCGGAAGGTGGCATGCTGAGGGCCGCCAGAAAATGCGTTGAAGGCCACATGTGGCCCTTGGGCTGCGCATTGGACCAGCCTGATTTACATGGATGCTACTGTTACGAATAGACAATACTGGGAGAGATGGACTAGCAGGAGTCCAACTGAGAATAAGAGAAGGTCATATATTCCCATTCGCATTACTTAGTGTTTCCATGTGTACTGGGGAGGGGAATTTGTTAGGGAACCTGCCTTGAAGGGGGATTCACTTTAGCTTCAACTTGGAGCCAAGGGGAGCTTTGCTTTTGCTTCTGAAGCTTCAGGTGCCGGCCTTCCAAAATGCAGGGAAAGGGATCCTGCGCACCCTCCTGCTACTGCGACTCCCATCACCCCTGACTATTGTCTGTGCCGGCCGGAGCTGAAAGGAGCAGGAGCCAAGCATCAGCAGGAGGGTCTCAGGTTCCCCACCCTGCCTGGCGATTCCCATAGGAGGCATTTATTCTATTGGCTTCCTTTGGCTGTGGCAACTCATCCAGTGGAGTCTTCAGTAATGAGCAAGGGAGGCTCTGTTCTCTCTCTTTTGTTTAACATTATTAATGATGCTTGTTCTTCTGTTTAGCCCTGAAAGACCCAAAGAGCTACTACCTGTCCTGTGTCTGGAGCTTCATCTCCTGGAAGTGGGCCTTCCTCCTCAGCTTGTACTCCCATCGGTACAGGAATGAGTTTGCAGACATCAGCATTCTCAGTGACTTCTAATAAAGACCCAGACTTTTAAACTCCAGCAAGGAGAGGAGGCACGTGGAAGGAGGGGAGGCCCCCTCTGGACAGACCCTGGCAGGAAGGTGCTGGCAAGGAGGACGACCCCTAGGAGGCCGAGAGCAGGAGCCGGCGTCCACCTCTGCTTCCCCCCCCTCTGCTGGCTTCCGTAGGCGCTCTCCCTTATTCCATTTAGCCTGTCGCTCTGGCTTGCACCCTCAGTCTCGTGCGTATGTGTGTGTTTTTAACTTTCACCAGCGTTTTGTTCCAGCTTGGAGGGATGGTTCAAGGTCCACAGCAAGACCCAAGGTTCTGGTCCAAGTCCTCCTGGGCCCAATACATTTCCCTCTTGTACTTTGGTGTGGTGGGGAACAACATGAAGGCTGAAGAAACAGGCAGAGCCACCATCGCCACTCATAGCCGTTGTCTTGTTGCCGCCTGCCGGATGTGTGGTGAAAGCCCAAGGAGGTGAAGAAAGGAAGGGACTCCTTTCACAGAGAGATGTATTTTCATAAGCGCAAGGCACAGATCCATTTTAAGAGGAAACTATTTTGAACCCGTTGTCGTCTTGCTGTTGCTCATGGCTTTTGAGGCAGGAAGAACATGGGGAGTTTTGTGCCCAAAATAGTCCCCTTGCCCCCAGTTCTTCTCCTGGCTCCTTTTAAATTGTTGGGTTTGATGTTTCAGAGTGAGATTCAGACCAGGGATGGGGAAGCTGTGGTGCTTCAGCTGCTGTTGGGCTCCAACTCCCAACTGCCTCAGCCAGCATGGCCAGTGGGCGGGGATGCTGGGAGTTGTAGTCCAACAACAACGGGTGGACCATGAGTTCCCCATACCTGGTTCAGGTGAAGCTGTGTGCCTGTGCTGACACTGTCCCTGCTGTTGAGGGTTAGCTCCATGGAATTTGGAAGGGACATAAAACACCCTTCAAACCCCACAGCCCAGCCCCCCTTTGAAGGGTCAGCTGCTAATGTGTTCCTTGTATCCATTGTCTAAAACTGTTACATTATAAAGCAGAAACAAAGCATTTATTTAGACTCTAATGCTCCAGTCAGTTCTGAGTGTGTCATCTGTGTCTCACACATGTGTTTGGACCAAAATACGTAATTAGCCACTTGGTTCTTGCACGTGGGGGTGAGTGGATGGGTCAGTGGAAGAAGAGGTTTCATGCCTGAGGATTGGGGGTGGCCCTGTGCCCCTTCGCCCCAAAAGCTCTTGGACTCAGCTCCCAACAGCCCCCAGCCAGTATGGGGTCAGGAATTATGGGAGTTGGAGTCTAGCGGTAACTGGGGGGCCACTGAAGCCCTCCCCCCCATCAATTGAAAATGGACTTCGACTAAGGAATTCCAAGATAGCCACTGGTGGTTGCATTAAATAGCATCACATCTGCATTTTATTACTGTAACACTTAGCCTTTTAAGATCAAGCCTGGCCGGGAGCAGAGCTGGTTCTATGCAATGGGTGTGATCTTGTAAGAAGGAATGGGTTCTCGGAATCTCTGCGTCACTTGGATCTGAATTGTTGCATCTGAACACCTGTGAGGGTTTCCCACTGCGCTCTTAACCCAGAACCTTTTGCTAGTACCAGATTCTGTGGCGCCATTTCTCTTCTCCAGCCCCCGGCTCACACCTTTTCCCTTTGCAGTGCTGATCTTTCCGTTGGGCACAGAGGGCTTGCTGAGTGCTTCCCATCTCTTCTCAAACAGAGAGCTGTACCCATCAACTTGTGTCTGGTAACCTAGGTCTCATCCAAACTAGGCCTGATGGACGCACTGCCTGGATTTCTTAACATAACCTTAAACTTGACAATGTGACTAAGGGATGGATCCACTCTATATAAACTTTTTACATCCTTATACTCTGAGTGTGTGGACCCTGCACACTGGATGCTCCCCAGGTATTTAAGTGGTGGCTGGCCCTTGTTGTTTCTCGGTTTGCCTGGAAGCAACTTGATGAGAACCATGTGTCCCCTTTGGAGATGCAGGAGTTGTTCACCCACTGAATGTGAGCTTATTGCAGATCTAAATCTGGGCCTATGAAAGAATGCTAACCCATGCGACATGCCTGGAGACCCAAGGAAGCAACTCTTCCCACCTTTCAGTGAATTCTGGATTCTTCATGCGGCCTCCTGCACTTTGTAACAGCTTCATTGTTTTTGAAATGGGCATCTCAACGGCCTCAGAAGTAGATCTTAAGAGATTGGCAGGGTAATGCAGGCACAGCTATTTGTAAAGGTATGGTAACTCGGACCCAAACCATTTAGGACTTTAGAACTCATCCCCATCAATTTGAATTGGGCCTAGAAACAAGCGGTGCAGTGTGATGCTCCAACTTCCTGCCCACAACCAGGAGCTGGTGAGCAGCATTCTTTGCCAGCTTTACGTTTCTGAACCATCTCCAACGACAGCCCCATGTGGAGCACGTGATGATGTCCATTGATTGTCCCCTCCTGAAAACAAGAAACTTTGAGAAGCACAGAAGAAAATTGGTGGCTGCCTATTGTTATCTATTTGCAAATACAGGAGAAGCAAAAGGGCAAACCCTGTTGCCTCGTGGCCCGTTTAATGGAATGAGGGGCAAGCAGGGATAATGAGAGAGCGGGTGACTAGCTAAAGAGGACTTGGCCACTGGTGAAAAATAATCTGCCACACCAGCAGGGGAAGTCAGTGGTCCATCTGTAGTGCATGCAGGTGTAGGCAGGCAACAGGGTGCTCTCCAGGTGCTGGACTCCAGCTCACATCAGCATGGGCACTGGCCAGGCATGATGGGAGCTGGAGTCCAACAGTATCTGGAGGGCTTGAGGTTGGCCACCCCTACCTTCTGTCCTTTGCTCTCCATGGAAACTTTGGCCCTCGGCTCATTAGGGGATGGGACCTTGTGATGTTGCCCTGCTTTTGCAGTACAATTCATAGGCTGCTTTCTGTTCCCCTGCTTCAGCCCTTGGAAATAACTTTTACCAGCGTGTGTTTTGTTCTCCCCTCTGTGTGTGCGCACTCGATATTGGGGAGTTAGTGCACAAACGGCTTGCCTGGGAGAAGACTGTCCACATGCCACTTTTGTTATAAATAAAGGGGGGAAACAGTACAAGGTGTCTGACTGTATTTCTTGCAGAGGGAAGCCAAGAGGGGTGTGGGTGTGAGACAGAGAGGGAGGGAGAAACCCCTGTGGCTGGGGAGCTCCTGAGCCAAGGAAGTGTGTGTTTTTGCCCCCCTGGTAAGAACTGGTCTAGTACACACATGGTCTTGGTTACCTATCTGAAGCCGTCAGTGGATTTGGCTGCAGGGAACTCATGGCACCAGTAAATTCACACAAATTCCTTTTTCTTATTGGAGGAGAACAACTTCAAACAGCCTTTGAAGAGCTTAGAATCTCAGATATGACAACAAGGGTGTGTGTGTGTGTGTGTGTGTGTGTGTGTGTGTGTGTGGAGGGCTTCCAGTCCTTTAGTTCTGCTGTCCTCAGCCTGATGCCCTACAGCCAGCTGGAGGGCACAGGGTTGGGGCAGGCTGGTCTGGTTTCTCTCCATGGTTAGCTGCAAGCCCACATTAGTTAGGTTGCAAGAAGCTGGACTTCAGTGTTCAGTTGCAGTGGGCAGTAGGGCAAATGTTACTAGAGACTTGCAGAGAAGATGGGGGAAGTTTGCTGTTTTGCACATAGCCTTAGGTTGTGTGGTGGCATTATAAGTTCTTTTCCAAAGCTGATGTGTGACTTTTGCAAAGCAAATCCTGTTTGCGCTTCTCACTCCCCACAATTGTGTATTGAAAAGCACAGCCAGGTACCCAGCCTTGGATCATACCTGAGCCATGGGCTAAAATGTGCATTGTGTTCCTTATTCAAAACTGGACAGCAGGTGGAATTTCAGTGCAGCATGCATACAATTGGCTTAATATTTTGCTTCTGTTGCACCAAATTGCTGTGCCTGAGTCTGAGTAACAGTTTCCTCTCAATGGTTGCAATCCTAAACTCACTTACCAGGAAGCAGCCCCACTAAATTTCATAGGATTTACTTCTGAGTAAACATGGTTAGGAGTGCGCTGCAAATCCTTAAGCAATGTAATGCTTGCTTTTCAGCTGAGGGTTTGGCAGTGCAGAGGGGCCTTGAAAGAGCCCTAGTCCATAGTAAACTGAATTACAATGTACATCTGTGGGGTGTACTGACACCTGCAATGCTAACAGCAATAGCAATGTAGGGTTGCCGGGTAGGCAGAGAAGAACCTGAACCTGCTCCCTTCAACAGCACTTTGAACGCAGAAATCAGGCATCACACTTGCCCCAAGATGGAGCGAAATGGGATTGCCTGCTAATCCTGCAGATCAGAGCACTGTTAAAAAGACGCCAACTACAAAGGATGGCTCAGATTGGCAGTTTGTCTGCAAAGTCTAACTAGAAGTGTTACTATATGTATTGTTTGGCCGTGTGTGTGTGTGTGTGTGTTTGTTTGTTTGTTATAAATTCAAAGTCCAGAAAATAGCAGCCAATGGGGGCAGGAGGCAGATCAGAATTCGGACTGTGCTGTGCAGTATTGGCTCATTCCATCCATGACATCAACCTGATCCTGTGGGACAGTCCCATATTTTCCAAGCTCCCTGTGTCAGATTGGCCCAGGGTTAGGAACATATGGCGCTCCAGAGGCTGTTGGACTCCCAGCTCCCATCAGCCCCAGCCAGCATGCCTGATGGTCAGGGATGATGGGAGTTGGAGTCCAGCAACAATGGCAGGAGCTTCTGCCCATTTAACCAGATCACCATGTGGGGCGGCAGTGGGCACAGAAGGATTCTGGGGAGGGCAGGTGGGTGTCTGAGAGAAGAACTATGCAAATGTAGCTAATGCGGTTTGCCTGGCCTTTTGGCCTGCAAGACTTATCTATTCCAAATAGTTTAAACTAGGAGCATGGAGGCTCTAGAGAGTTGTGACGCATTTGCAGATGTTCTCTTTTGCTAAGAAAAGAGACACAGATCATCTGCCAGCGGCCGCTTGTGCAGTCCCACAAAGATACACGAGGAGGTCTTTCCATTTCTTTCTCAGCCCCCCTTTCTCCACGAGGCAGCTGGCAGCCATAACCCTGACCAAAAACACTCTTCTTCTGTCTTACACAAAAGCATTAAAGCAATAAAATGGCATGATCAGAAGGAGTGTGGCATCGCATTCTTGCTGAAGTGAAGGGCTAAACCGAATCAGATAATAGAGATCCATAATTGAAATTGAAATACTTTATTGTCACTTGTACAACTTGTATACAGTGAGATTACATGAGCACCCCCACTCAGATGGACATCACTCTTAATTTTTTGTAAAAGCACCGGTGGGGAGGGGTGTTTGTGTGATTCATGGTGTGTGCCGGGGTGTGTCTGCTAGCTAGCTCTTTCCTCCTCCACCATTTCCCTTTTCTGTACCCCAATGCTTTCCCTAAGTGACGTGGAAGCTTGTCCCCCTTGCCAGATGCGGCCACACTACAGTTCCCATCATCCCAGACCACGGGCCATGCTTCCTGCAGTTGATGGGAGTTGGAGTCCACCAACGTCTGAGCAGCCACAGCTTAGCTGCTGACACAGGGGGAGGGCTATTTTCATTAGAAAATGGTGCAGGGGGAAGGGTGAAACCTCCCCCCCAAGGTTGTGCTGCCAACCTCAATTGCCAAAAATGGGGGGGGGGGGCTGCATTGGCATTTCAACTCTTATTAACCCATTCTGACTTCTAGTAGCACAAGGGGTTTACGTTTTGCCCCCTGACAGGGTCCTGAATGCAGGCCTGCAGCAGTTTCCCCTAGGCTCCTAGAAGAATAGGGGGAGGGAGGCAAGAGTCAGGAATTTGGGGTATAGCTAATACAACACGGCACACCATGCAACTCCATGGCTAGGGTCAAGAAAAAGGCAACTTTGGCACACCCCGCTTGCGTACCTTGATGTCCAACTTCACCATACTTGGGAAGTGGTGCTGGGTGGGGGGGGGGGAGAGAAACATTTGTTTAGAAGATGCTGCCAGTCCCTGTTTCAAGTCAAGTTTCCAAGGCCTCAGCCTCTGTCTTGGCGCGTTGACAGAATGAGGCGTGGATGTTTGCTTCTCCTCATCTGTGGATTTTTGTCACAGAGCCAAGAAGCCAAGAGATGCTGGTGGGAGGCCTCGATAATTGGAACATTTGGGATGAATTTGGATCCAAAGGGCTGGGACGGCCTCTCGGCTTTGATAGAGTTCCTGGAGCAGGACATGTGCCAAGGCTCTGTAGCCCTGCGGTTAAACACCCTGGCCCTGCAATTCTGCAGCAGCCAGCTGAAGTCTGGAGCCAATTACAACCGGAGTGAGTTTGGAAGAGCTCAGCTGAATTCTGTCTCTCTTCCACCCCCCACCCGGTTCACTCTGCTTTTGAACATCTGGGCCTTCTTGGAGGAAAAGAATCATCCACCCATCACTGTGGCTGACTATTGCCTGCCAAGAGGCCTCAATGCATGGAGAGCAGAAATGGGTGGATTCAACAGAGGGACAATAGTCAAGCAAAGATTTCTGGACTAAATTTGGCACTGGAGTTCTGGATGCTTTAACTGAAGCACTATGGGTCTGTGCTCACGCAATGTTAAAACTGTCCAAACTGCAGAGTATCTCCCATACGCCTTCAATTGAAATATATGGCTTTTCACCCCACATAGAAGTAAAACAGATATGCTCATTGCCTCTATGTAACAATTAGCATTAACTGCTGAGCCAACTAACTTTAAAGTTTTAAAACTATTCAAGATAAAAACAAAATAAAATTAGAACAGACCGCAGTGCAGAAGGACAAGCAGCCATACTCGTCCCCATCCTCACTTGGACCACTGCTTTGTATACAATAGAGATCCTAGATGAACTTCATATATTGTTTTCTCTCTTCCCAAATCTTATCACTATATGAACCCCTTAACCCACCCTTCACCCTCACAATTATATACCACTATGAAACATTTAAACGCCACAATTTTCAGTTCCCAAGGTTCCTTATTAATAGCGTATGAGACTGACGGGAAAAGAGGATTTGCTCAGCTACCAAAACATACTGCTTTATACATGTGCAATGTAATGCACTGGCCAGCAGGGGTCATTCATTGCAACAGTCTGCAATTGCTTGCCATTAAACACAATGCTCAATGTTATTTACAGCGGTCCCTCAGGTTACATACACTTCAGGTTACAGACTCCACTAACCCAGAAATAGTACCTCGGGTTAAGAACTTTGCTTCAGGATGAGAACAGAAATCACACGGCGGCGGCTCGGCAGCAGCGGGAGGCCCCATTAGCTAAAGTGGTGCTTCAGGTTAAGAACAGTTTCAGGTTAAGAACGGACCTCCAGAACGAATTCAGTTCTTAATCCGAGGTTCCACTGTAATTGGAAAGTGAATGAGAAAGGCACTGCACATGGGGAAACAGTGCAAAAGTTTAAATCTTTCACTGTCCATTGCAAATCCTCCTCCCATTAGCCTTTCCTTTTTTATCCTTCCACCAAGTCTAATTTGGCAAGTGTAGGTTTGGGAACACAAGAACACACAAATACACAGGCACACATGCAGAGAGAGATGCCTTACTCAAAAAGACCCAATATTTCTACTGTTGTGGATTCACTTTGAAGTGATGCTGGATCATAGATTTGGGGGGATTGGCAAAGGAATGTTACTGTCTTGGAATGGGTGGGTGGTTGAAGGTTCTTTAATGGAACTGCAATGACTAGAGAATAGTTGGAGATATTCCTTGAATGTTTTGAGTGAGAGAAGCCACTGGAACTGGGGAAGTGACTCATCCCTCATTGCCTGCTACCCTGGGATGGGTGCAGGGACCAAGCCAAGAAATTCGTGCTCTAGGTAACTTATTGCTGCAATCTGTCTGTCTCGAGAGACAATGGAAGAGTGCTCCATCGGGGATAAAGACAAAGAATTGCATAGTTATAGCACCTGCTATGGCTGTAAAGACCAATATGAGAGAGACATGTTTTATTGCAGCTGAGGTGGATGAAGGCATCCAGTTTTGCTGCTGCAGATGCACCATAGAGTTTCTTCTCTCTGTGCTCCTCCCAGTGGTCATTCCTCCTCTGGTCACTGCTATGGATGCGCAACCTGTCTGCCACCACACACTGCAAGGGATTCCCACAGGTCAGTGTTGATGTTGCCAACCTTTGTGTCACATCTGCAGACATCTTTGTAATGCAGGGGAGGCCTGCCAACAGGTCTGGTGCCTGAGGCCAGTTCCTCATAAAGCACATCCTGCCATCTTCCATTCTGTGTACATGACCTAGCCAACATTGATGTGGCTGGGACAGAAATGTGAACTTGCTCAGAATGTAGGCTTGGAAGAGCACATCTTTGTCTGAGACTCTGTTCCGCCACATGATGCCCAAAATCTTTCTGACACAGCACATGTGGAAGGCATTGAGGTGTTGCTCCTGGTGGGTGCAAGTTGCCCATGGCTCACTTCCATAAAACAGTGTGCTAAACCTTTCTCTTGGTATTGGATGCTGGCATCACACTCTCCCAGACCCTGTCGGAGAGGTGAGCCATTGCTGTCGCTGTCTTGCTGATATGCTTATCCAGCTCAGTTTCAATGGAAAAGTGACTGGTTATGGTTAGAACTCAGGCAGCAATAGAAGTCATTTTAGAAGAGGGCTAAGGGCTAGCTGGCTGTGCAACTTGTCACCTTCCAGATGTGGTTGGACTCCATCAGGCCCAGTCAGCATGGCCAGTGGATGTGGAACTTCTCACTCCTTAGGAAAATGAGGAGCACAAAACTCTTACACACTGCCCAAAAAAAGGGGCAAATAAGGACATCGATTTGCATAAACTTTGCATAAGTGTTTATGCTGGGCAAGGCTGAGACCTGGTGTCCTGTGTGTGCTTGCTCAGCCTGCTGATGGGCAAGTTCAAGGCTCCCTCCCTGCATGTTGTGAAAGTGGCCTGTGATTCTCCTTGTTAACAAGTTTTATAGGATTTGACTTCGAAAACCTGCACAACCTGTCTGACCAAAACAACAGTATGAGAAACAAAAGAAGTGTATTTGTGCACACGTCTCTACCCCTTTGACTCTATTGAATCTCTTCCACATAAGGCCTTGCAAGATTTGAAGGTAGGGGTTGTATTTATTTTTAAAAGGCAGACGATGCATAGACAGCCAGAAGAGGGCAGGCACCACAACAAGATCTAAACAGAGGAACTGTCTCCATTGGCGCTCCAACTAATTGCAGTTTTTGCAAGAGGAAAATACTTTTCCCAATAGAATTTCACACTACAGCATATTTTTCTTCACCCATCAGGAATTCCTTGAGGCTTATACCTGCTTCATGCATATATTTTGAATGATGTCTTAAAAACCTAAGGTTAATATCCTATGCACACTTACCTAAGAGTAAACACAGTTGGAGATCGGAGTTGCTTCTTAGTAAACATACATAGGATTTCCACTCCAGGCAGTCCTATGCAGCTTTTCTCAGAAAGATATGCTAATATGTTCAATGTGGCTTACTCCCAGGAAAGTCTTGCAGAGGATTGCTTCCTTAAGGTTTCATTTTATGCAGATCGGATACAGATACAGGCTGAAAACACAGAGCTTAATCCAGTCCAGCTGGATTATTGTTTTTGTTTAGTTTGTGAATCAGTTTTAAAACTGTAATGAAGAGGCAATGTGTGTTTGTGTGTGTACGTGTTAAATAAAAAAAATAAAAGGTAAGAATTTAAGAGTTTGAAGGGCTTGCTAAGCATCTGCAAAACACTCTCCTGGTAAACTAATGCAATTTACAACCTGTTTATTCAGTATATCTTGATTTGCTGGCAGAAAGCTTTACATGATGGTTGCACTGTTGCAGTCTTTACTGAGTATTCATTCTAATTTGCTTATGGGGCAGTTATATGACAAAAAGCATTTCTGCTTATTTATTTGTGGGGTGTTGGTTATTTGTTCATTCTGCCCTTTTCTGCACATTTCTCCATCTCTTTTCCAAAGGCAAAAAGTCTCCTTTTCTTTTCTTTTCAAGTGGATTTATTGCCATAGAGCAATAAGGTGTTAGACCCACTTTAATTCAGCAAACCTAACTTTCCTGGTACGTACTTGATGCCCTCCTGCAAAAAAGGATAGAGTCTACAGTCACCTTTTAAAAGTGTTTACCTTTGCCAGGACTGTGCCCATAACCTACAGATGCTTTTGGATTGGGGGGATCCTGCACTTACCAGCCTATAGCAGCATCTCGTTTGTTCACCACACAAGGGCTGTGCTGATAATACCTTTGCTGATCTCAGCAGCTGCTTTTCCATCAGCCAACGAGGTGTCCTGTCCTCAAGCCCCTCCTCCCAGCTCCACAATAATCTGGTGCCCAACCTGCACAAAAGGAAAAGTATACAGTGTTTAATGTCAAGTGGAAACCTGCTTCCTGAATACATTTTATTACACGGACAATGTTCTTTTTAAACGTGTCACATTTGCATGAAGTTGAAATGCAACTGTGGTTGCAGTTTGCAAAGGTAAAGAGCTCTTCCCCGTGACCTATTTATTTCATCCTAATTTGGCTGCACGAAGCTTACTTGGAAGTTAGATTGTATCCAGTTTTTATTGAGCATTTGCTCTGATTTGTTTGTGGGGGCAGTTATACAACAATGAACAGCCTCCATTCATTCCATCCTTTCCAATGCATTTTCCTGTCACTTTCCTGACTGAATAAAGCATGTTTCCTTTAAAGCTGATTTGCCACGCTAGGGTGGCAAAGCATCCACTTTAATGGCATAAACCTAAATTTCCTGGTATGTGCTTGAATCCTCCCCACAAAATACTGAGTCTGGAGGTGTCCAAAGCAAACATTAAGTGCCACTGTTCTTTGTGACGGAGAATAGCTGTAGTGAAGTGTAATAGCTGCAGTGTAGTGGCCACACCCCAGGGACACCTTCAACTGGTCGGCTAAACCAGGTGAGGGGAGCCAATGGGACTCAAACCCTCAGTGAGTTAGGAACTTGCCTTGCATGCAAAGACAGGTTCTGGCGGATTGAGCAGATGAGACCAAGAGTGGGTCCAATGGTCAAAAAGATGGTTTCTGCACCTGCTGCAGAGGAAAGTGAGGGGCAGATGAGGCTCATCTACTGGGAAGGGAGCCCATCTAGGAGAAGGAAAACTCTGATTCCAAACCTCTGCTGCCTTGCAAGAAATTTTCGGGGGAAGAAAAGGCTCAGGAGTAAACCCTACACAAATCTGGAGTGGAGTCCCTAAGGCTGGCACCTTGTAAGTCTCCTGCCAGCAACTGCGGCAGCCCAGCTGCTGATAAACATCTTGCTCTGCTTTCCCTTGGACCACATCAGCGAGGCGGAGGGGGGGGTCTTGACATCTGGGCAGCCCAGGACCTCCATACACACTGTCCAAGCTTGTGCCTCAGGGAGGTCACTTCAGGGCTGCAAATGCAATTGTTTGACTTCACCCTCCATGGTTTCTTGAGACAGATGCCAACAAGTGGCTACAACTGTGAGCTGGAAAGCCCTGGATTCAAACTTCTACTTGGCTATGAACTTTCTGGG